CCTGGCAGGGTCCAGTGGAAGCCTGGAGCCCAGCCCTGCAGGTTTCTGGTACCAGAGAGCTGGACTCTAGGGCAGGACATGCTAGCAGTGCCTGGGTACTTCCAGCCTTCCGCTGTCTCTAGGCTGCCTCTGCTGTGTGTGCTTCCTTGACTCCACTTACTCAGTCCTCTGGGGCAGCTGTTACCCAGGGTAGCCTGGTCTGCAAAGAGGGTGTGGTAGGTGTGTGATGACAGCTATGCTCTGCAGCCATGTGGGCGGAAGTCAGCTCTCAAATGCACAAAGGGTCCTGTAGTGGGGACACTGGCTGAGGTAGTCATCCCTGAGCATCCTGGGGCTGTGGAGGCACATAGGTCACATACTTCATGTGGAAAAGATCTAGTTATCAGCAGCTCTGATGGGCCTGGGGGCAGAACCCCCACAGAGTCAGTGGGAGAGCCAGAAGCAGATTCTCTACTAGTTAGTTCATCTTCAGTCCTGGGGAGCATCTGTCCAAGAAGGTGCCATGACACTGACACTTCAGGTGGGAAGTATCCTCTGATGAGGTGTTCTGTGTGGGGCATCTCCTGATGATAGGTGACCATTGAGTCACCTGGGAGGAGGGGACCCCAAATAATGACACTTGGTGCTGCCCACAGGAACCACAACCAGGATGGGAAGACAGTGGGGAGTCTTGGGAACCTGGTCCTCTTGGGGAAGGGAAGGACATGTCAGTCTGGACACATTGAACTTGGCATTCAAGACATTGAGCAGCGAGGTGCAGGAGGCAGGCAGAAGCAAGTCGGCCTATAGAAGAGACCTTGAAGGCAGGGAGCGAGGAGGAGCAGATGGATGGAACAGCACAGCAGGCACACAGAGGATTCCAGACAGGTGCTCTGTACATGCATTAAGAAGGACTGAGTGTAGATAGGACCCTTGGATCGGGGAGACAGGCCATGGGTCATGAGGCAGGTAGTATGGGAAGGAGTGGAGCTCAGTGAGAGCAGGAGGGGTTAGAGGCCCTCCCTTGGCTCAGTGGGATGAGATACAGGTCTGTGCTGGTGAAGCCACAGCGAAAGACAAAGTCTCTACCGTGCTTCTCTTTATCTACAAAGAAGAGACAGGAAGGGAGGGAGGGGAGTGTGGTAAAAAGCCAGCAAGAAGGCTGATTGGGGGATGTTCCGGAGAACCTGCCCCAGGAGCATGGGGTCCAGAATATAGTGCAGTGCAGTCCCAGAAAGATCTCTTTCCTCAAAACAGGAAAGATGAAAGGCAGTCAGGAAGACTGGGCATGAGTCTGGCTGGAGGAAATTGTTCTCCCATTCCCTGGTGTGACATTTCTAAATCTCTGTCTTAGTTGTTAATACGAGGCAGAGAGACATAAGGAGCAGGAACCAATTCTGGAAAGCCATTATGCTTCCATTGGTCTTGTCAAAACCTTGTACTTGGAGACCACTTTTGCAGATGATAAGGATGTTATTGGGAGAAAGGCACAGGCCACAGTGATGCAGTTAGCTGGTGGATGGAGTAAATATAAAATGTCCTCCTGAAATGCGAACCCCTAAGTGGGGACCAGGGGGTCCACATAGCCATGAGTAATTTCAGAGTCTCAGAGCCCTGGTGCAACCCAGGTGGCTAGTGATTACTCATGGGTTAGTAGGAGATAGAGCATGCTTGTTGGCTTCTCTAAGCGGCACATGGCCAGCCACAGTCTAAATGCAGACTTTGCCATATCATTTCAGGAGTTTGAGAAGCATCGCCAGAGCTTTTACAGGATGGCACCATCTGAAAAGGGCCAACTGGGATGAGCCCCCCTCAGGCAACCTGATTGAGGGTAAGGAACATGTTGCAATGAGGGTTTACAGCCCATGGAGAAAACTGGAAGGTTGTCTTAAATCACCTCATTTAGGAGGTTGTAAAGCGTAGGTTCCTGCAAAAGTACTCATTCCCTAGGTTAGATAATTGATAGGTAGTGGTAAAATATGAAGGAAATTAGAATGTGGGTTCTATGGTTTGAATCTAAAACCATTCCCCCAGAAGGCCCAGATGTTCAGAGGTGGGGCTTTTGGGAGGTGAATGGATCATCGGGGCAATGACCTCCTCTAGGGATTAATTCATTGCTGAGTCATGATGAATGGGCTGTTGAGAGGTGGGGTCTACACAGAGGAAGTAGGTCACTAGCGCCTATCCTGAAGGATATATCTTGAACCTAGCCCATTCTTCTCCCTCTCTCTGCTGCCTTGCTACCATGAGGTGAGCAGGTTTTCTCTGTCAAGCCCTGCTGTTATGATGGTTCTGCCTCACCATAAGCCTGAAAACAATAGAGCTGGCTGATCATGGACTGAAACCTCTCAAAGTAGGAGCCAAGATAAACTTTGCCTTATTTAAATTGGCTTCACTCAGCTTTTACATCACAGTGACAGCAAGTTAACTAACATAATGGGCAAAGAACTAAAGCATGGGCTTCCTTCTGATCATGGGTTTCCCCAGGACAATTCCTGGGTGCCTTGTGAGAAGTCATTAGAAGTTTAATGCATAAAGAGCTTGCGTTAAGTGTGGATGGGCAGCACAACAGATAATGACTTGTGCACTTGTGCACATGTCCCCATCCTTCCCTGCCTGACCACTTCCTGTGGAGGGTGATTGTCTTGTAATTCTGGATGCTCTTTGGAGCAGATATCCTCCTCCTAGAGGGCCCTCCCCACTGCCTCTGCCTGCTGTTGTGATAGGAACTCCACGTCAGGAACAAATATGTGGAAAAGCCTGGATAGGCGATCGAAGTACCCACCAGCAGGCCTCTTTCCAGGAACCAGCATCTCTGGGCAGGATGGTGTCCACAAGCGTCTGTCATGCATGCCACCTCCCTCTCCTTCCCGGGCCTCTTCCCTGCTCCTCATGATGCTCTTCCGCCCCTCCTGTCCTTCCTCACTGTTCTTCTTCACTTGCCTTTCCTCACCCATCCCTCTTCGCCCGCCAGGCCTCTCTCTCTTTGTCGTCTCTTCTTTCCTCTCCGTCTTCTTTCCATTCTCTTGTTGCTTTCCAAAATCCTACACTTCTTGAGCATCCATCTCTGCTGTTTAAGAAGGTCTGCATCTGGAGGAACCCTAAGGACTACTACCCTGATTTACCCATGTGGACTCAAGAGGTTGACGTGCAGGGCCCAGAGCACATGCGAGGCAGCCAAGACTGAGCTCACATGCGAGGCAGCCAAGACTGAGCTATGCTTCTTCTGATTCAGTCCAGGGTCTCCCCACTGGGTGTGGGGAACCCTTTTTGCACAGCACTGGCTGCTCTCAGAGTGGTTCACATAGTTAGATGAGTGTTTTCAAAGAAGAGTGAAGTATGTGAACCAACTCCCCACGATGAATGTAATCGTCATGTACAGCAAACATGTACTAATAAAAATAAAAAATCAACAAAAGAAGACAAAGAATGGCCATGCCTGTCTTGTGGCCTTGCCCTCTGTGACCCATCCAGCTGTCATCTCCTCCAACCCACCCTGTCTTCAGGCAGATATGAAGGTGGTTTGGAATATGAAGGTGGGGGAGATGACCTGTCTGCTTCCCTTCCAGCCCTGCCCTCAGTCTTGGAAGCTGAATTTCCTTAAAAATTGGCAATGAAGGAAGGATGTTTTATTAAATAAGGATATATTTATTTTCTCTGCCACTCCATTTCAGTGTTTCCTGGGCTCTGTAGTAAAGAATTTAAGATCTAACCATGAGTCCTTGTTGCAGTTTGATTTTACTGTTACAGTTGCTGGGAATTTTTGTTGTGATTCTAATTGTTGTTTTCCTTCAACACCCACGCTGTTAGTGCTGTGTTTGGGAAGTGAGAAATCACAAACTGTGAGTTATAGAACAAAACCTGAATCTGTTTGACCACAGTAGTCTAAAAGAAACAAACGTTCACAGAATGTGCTCCCACCGACAGACGAAGCTGATTAAGTGGAAGTGTCTTGTGTGACTGAGTAGGTGAGGCATGCAGATGCACGTGGCCGGGGGACCGGCACCTTCGCCCTCCACTGGGTGTTCCAGCTTCCCTCTGGCTGGAGCCAGGGGTGGCCCTTGCAGCAAGCCTGTCTCCCCGCACTGTGGAGTGCAGTCACCCCTGCCTTCTCTAGGGATGTAGTCAGAGGTGGCCTGTGGAAGTCAGGTTTCTCCCCAGGACTCAGGGATAATGAGGCCACACCCCTGGTGCTAACCAACTCTGTGGAAAATGGAAACAAGATTTCCCCACCTAGGTGTCAGTGAAGATCTCTTGTAAGTGGGAACCCCACCATCAGTTAGAGGAACCCGCTCCTTCAGTGTCCACAGAGGCTCAGGACAGGACCTGGGCTCCTGCCCTCATCTGCCAGCAACTACACACTAGCCATGATGTCTATGTGTGCCAGCCACAGCAGAAAGCCTGAGGGGGACTCAGATGTCCAGGTTTCACTGAAAAATTGTCATCATACAAATAATAATAGGAACAGAATGATCTTTAAACAGATCATTCAAACAGAATAAAAAATAGATACCAAGTCAAGATGACAGGTTCACTAGAATTACTGGATGGAGATTTAGAGCAGCCATTATAAACATTCTCCAATGTCCAACAATAAACGTGGTGGGAATGTGAAGTAATAATCTCTGCAAAGAAATAGAAGATATAAAGAGCCAAGTGGAAATTTTAAAACTGAAAAATACAATAAGCTAAATGAGAAACTCATTTAGTAGGTGGGATCCACTGTGCTAGAGATACAAGATGAATCAGGTAGCTGAAAGTCAGAATAGTAGATTACTCAACAGGAGCTTGTTGTCCACCTAAATTTAAAAAATAATAATAATGACATCCACTGCTGATGATGCCATGAAGCTAGGTCTCTTAGGCATTGCCAGTAGGAATGCAAAACAGTGCAACCTCTCTGGAAAACAATTTGGTGGTTTCTTTAAATGTGAACATATGAATGGCCAGGGATTTAGCTCAGTGGCACCACACCTGCCTTGCAAGAGCCGTGTCCTGAGTTTGATCCCCAGTACCAAAAACTTTTTTAAAAATGAGATAAAATTGAACATGTGGGCTGAGGATGCAGTTCAGTGGTAGAGCACCTGCCTAACATGTGCAGGGCCCTGGGTTCTATCCTCATTACTGCAAAATAGCACCGCTAAATTTGCTGCAACCACTCAATAAAGGAAGAAATGATAAATTGGACTTTTGTCAGATACAAAAACTTGATCCTTTGGTTCATGTGAGAGCATGATGGTCGAGTGTTCATGCCATATGTGTGAAATGTACCTCCCCTCAGATATTACTATGTCAGCACATTACCTGTCTGACATGGGAAAAAAAACAAAACAATGCATAAAAACTCTCCTGCTCTACTCAGCAGGAGAAAAACATGCATGGAAATGTGTGAGGTAGATTGTTCACAATACCTGTTATGCCCAAGTCGCGAAGTCCCCAAAGACCACCAAGGAGTCAGGTCCGATGCAATTACAAGAGGAGTTTATTGCAAGATTGAGCCTGGACCCTCAGGTGTCACTGTCGCAGCGGCTTCAGACTGAGAGCCCAGATCCATTTTTGAAGCGGGTTTATATAGGGTTAAGAAAACGTTTTGCTTATATAGTTTCTATTTTTAGCTCTCGCTTATCATTGGATATTCGAGGGATACTGGGAGGGCTTTTACATTTTATTGGATGTTTGAGGGGCACCGGGAGGTCACTTACTGGAAAATTACCTAATGCCTACATTCACAGAATCTATTCCTCTTTTTAAAGAACATCTGATTAAACAAATTCTATAATTAACAAAGACTACATATGTGAGCAATGACTAATGCCTATATTAGCAATGGCTACCTATATAAGTTATGACTAGTACCTATATTGGCTAAATCAATTTCATCAATCGTCCTTTTAAAAAAATGTTGATTATTTTAAGCAGGAAGAATTCATCTTTAGATCATAAAAAGAGGAACAGAAACAGGGTGGAGATGCCCTAAGATAGCTTGCCCTAAAAAGAGGAACAGAAACACAGGGAGACTGTCACATAGAATGGAATTTTACAGAAGGGAACTTTTGCAGCTTTGTTCTGGGCAAGGGGTGTATAGAGGGGGCACAGAGGGAGCCCACCTTGACCTGAAAACTTGGTCCTCATATAGCAAACACTAGAAATAGCCAAAATATTCTTCAGCTCATGAAAAGTTAAGCCACTGTGGCTCACCCACACTAAAGGTGCTAATCAGCAACAATGAAAAAGGTGTTGTTAACACAACCACCACCTGTGTGATCTCTGGGAAGTGTGTGAATGGAAAAGCCAGTCCCCTAAAGTTACCTACTATACAGGTCCATTTATACAGTATACTCCGTGAAGTTGCAGTTCAGAGTTGGAGGCCTCAGTCTTTTGTGGATTTTTCCTTAAAACCTAACTAACAATTTTTCAAAGACCATCCCCACCCCCACTCACATGGCAACTTCCAGGAAAACTAAAAATATCCTCCTCCACAATTGTTTTTTTGGCGGGACGTTTGTAAATAGCCAATCCCGCCTGCTGATTGGCCGCTGCCCCGGCATTCCCGTATCATAACAAGTTGCTGTACTGCCTGTAGCTGTCTCAAGTGTTCTGGCTTTTGCTCTTCTTAAAGCTCTAAGATCTCTAAGGTGCAACCAAAATGCCCTGCACCCTCTAAGGCTTTATTAATACAGTATTTTATTAAATTAAATTACATCACTGCAGGAGACATAGCATATTTGGGGTTTAAACTAAAAAATAGACATTTATGGGCATTTTTCTGACCATATCTGAATTTCACAATGAGGGTGCTCTAGGAATGTAACCGCCCAGAAATTTCCTGAATCTACTGTTCAGTGACTCTAAAATAACCAGGACAGTGGAACTGGAGAACAGGTTGGGAGTGCGGGTGAATGAGGAGGTGGATAGGCAGGGTGCAGCTGTGAGAGGTGGCAGGAGGGTCCTGGTGGGGCAGGTGTTCTGTGTCAGGACTGCGTGTCAGCTGTCCTGTTGGTGAGACTTTTCTCTGGTTTTGCAGAATACTGCTATAGAGGAAATCAGGGTGATGGGTACCAGGGATCTCTGTGTTAATGCTAACAACTACATGTGAGTCTGCAGTGATCTCAACATGAAAAGTTTGATTTTAAAACTCTTTGAGGAAGCTATAGGCAACTCTACATATATATATACTGTAACTTGCTTTGTGGACAAAAGTTATTAATTGCCTGATTTCTATATGGCATAGATTTAGAGATTGTGTCTCATAAATCATAATTGAAAACTGGTTATCAGTCTTTCAACAACATGGCTAAACATGAATCTCATTAGCAAGTTTCAATCCTTGTTCATTAATAATTCAGGTCTCAGTCCCCCCAAATATAAAGACCCGATTCAAAAATGGGCATCCGAAATGAACAGACATTTCTCAGACAAAGAAGTAAAAGCAGCAAGAAAATATTTGAAAAAATGTTCCACATTGCTGGTCATTCGCGAGATGCAGATGAAAACAACACTGAGATTCCACCGCACCCCACAAAGAATGGCTGCTATCAAGAAATCACACAATAAAAAATGTTGGCAGGGTTGTGGGGAGAAAGGAATCCTTCTCCATTGTTGGTGGGAGTGCAGACTGGTGCAACCACTGTGGAAATCAATATGGAGATACCTCAAAGAGCTTGGACTGGAGGTTCCCTTTGACCCAGCCATCCCTCTGCTGGGTATCTTTCCAAGAGAACTAAAAGAATCATATCACAGAGAAGTATGTGCACCCGTATTTATAGCGACACAGTTTGTAATAGCTAAATCTTGGAAACAGCCCATTTGCCCATCTGTTGGAAACTGAATAAAGAAGATGTGGTCTTTCTATAAAATGGAATATTACTCAGCCATAAAGAATGAGAAAATAGATTCATTCATAGGAAAATGGATACATATTGAAGATATACTCCTAAGTGAAATAAATAAGTCACACATGTGTAAATACCGAATAGTTTCCCTGGTGTGAATAATCTGCAACAATGCATAAGATTCTAATAAGATTACTGACATTGTGAAATGGGAAGAAAGGAGCTAAAGGTGTAGGGAAGGTGGGATGGGTAGGGGAAGAGTAAAAGGGGAAAAGAAAAAAATGTGAGAGAATGAAAAGATGAAAATAAAGTGTTTGTAGATGGGGAGGGGAAGAGGGGGTGAAGGGAGGGCAGAGGTAAGGGGAAAAAATGAGAATCAAGACTTGTCATGTAGAGGTACAAGATCCCAACAATGAATGTAACTGTACTGTATCCCTAAAATGTACCAATAAACTCAATTAAAGCTGAAAAAAAAAACAACTCAGGTCTATATATGAAAAACAGAACCCTGGGTAACTTCTGTCACTTTGGTGTATAGAAAGTAAATCCATTTCAAAATAAAATAACTGAAACTCACATGAGTTTAACAAACTATAGAAATGATACTAATATTGTTCCAATTATTTTATAACAATTATCTTCTGAGTTATATTTTATTTAAAATTATTTAGTTTTGGCTCTTTAACCCATAGATAATCATCTTGTTGATAAGTCAAGAATTTAAAAGTTGTCATGAGATCATACAGTTTATCTTCAGTTCTCAGCTACAGCCATGATTGGTTAAAGAAAGCACACCTGGGGCCGGGGATGTAGCTCAGTGGTTCTACCGCTTGCCTCACAAGTGCAAAGTCCCGGGTTCAATCCCTGGTACAAAAAAAAAAAGAAGCACACCTTAATCATACCTTTCCCTTTATGTCCTTTGCCTCTGCTTCATTGTTGGTTCTTGGGTCAGCCTAGAATTGAGGGTTTCTGCGGCAAAGCAAACTATGCTCCTGGCAAAAAGGCAATACCAGCAGGAGATTTGAACAGCTTCCTGAGAGCTGGGTGTTTTGGTTGCACCTTAGAGATCTTAGGGCTTTACCCATTGCCTCATTCACCATAAGCCAAATGAGTGAGGCACTAAGCCAAACAGGGAGTCCTGATTAGATTTTTTTTTTTTTTTTTTTTGGCTGTACCAAGAGTCCAATTCAGGACCTTGCACTTGCAAGGCAGGTGCAGTGCCACTGAGCTACATTCTCAGCCCTGATTAGGACTTTTAATTGGCTGAATATCCTCTGCTAGCATCTTGTCATGAAGAATTCTCTAAATCCTTTATCAGTTGACTCCTGACTTTAGACCCACTTGTTCTCTGTGCCTCCTCCTTGGGCTGATGCAACTTGGTGAGTGGTGTGTTCTTGCAACACCTGATTTTATGCCCAGCCTTGATCATTTCTTCCCTTGTGCAGCTGTTTCCTTGGTGACACTGACCCCATTCTGGCCATCAGCACTATGGATTCTTTGGGTTGGATGCCTTTTGCTCAGGGCCATGTGGCCAGCTTCACTGACTCCACCACTCAGCTCCAGGAGCATGCCAGTTGTGACTACTGTCGGTGTTTCTGGATATCACCATGTATCCCATAGGAAGCTGGGGATAACAGTAGTTGAGAACCCCTGGTCTGGAAGCCACCCCGAGCTTTCTTCACTTCAGCAGCAGAGACCAGGGTCCAGGGTTCATGTGAGCCTGGTAGCCTCTGCTTCTTGCTCACAGGAGTAAACAAGGTGCCAATGCCCATATAAAGGAAGTCATTGTTCGTGCCTTTTGGTGCCCCTGTATAAACACATGCGGAAATTCCAGGACTTTTTATTTAGAAATAGAAGTATTAGACCATGGGGACGGGGAGCACAGTCCAGTTAGTGGCTGCAGGCTCACTTCAGCACTGCAGGGGACATGTGCACTGCAGTCCATGGAAGCCCGTGGGTGCCAGCACATGACAGGTTTTGGTCCTTGGCAGACCAGAGCAAGAGGGCGGAGGAGGCACCCTGCACCCAGAACTGCTGGTGTTCCTGATGTGCCTGCTCCCCCTGAAGCTGCTCAAACATGAAGCATTGAGAGTTAATTGGTTAACAAAGAACTGGGATGGATGGGATTCCTTATGATACCACAGGCATCCAAGCCAACACATCAGAATAAGAAGCAAGAAGAAACAGAGCAGTACTAAATCACAGTGTTTTTTAAAAACAACTAAATTTTCCTAATATGTATAGTTTAAAACAAGGTGGAGAAGTGGAGAGAAGAATGTTTCTTTGACGTTCTCACTAGGCTGATCCCTTCAGCAGCGCTATTCTCCCTGCCTCTGGGGAGGGAAACTTTCTGCAGAGCTGCACTTGCACAGCCTTGGCTTTCTCAGTCTGCTCCTGCCCATCGCCATGCCAGCATATGTATTCTTCCACCTCGGGATTTGGATGGGTGTGAAAGCTTCAGGAATAATGCGTGCAACCACAG